TCAATGCCATCATCCTAAAGCAAAACCAAATCATTCATACGAATAGTATTTCCATGACCCCAACACTCGTCTTCCCAAGACCTTAATACAAACAAACAAAATATAAAAAAAAATTCTAAATAACGATTACAACACGAAACCGTCGTCGTTATTGTAATGCAAGGACATCAATCTTATCATTAGAAAGAGAATTAAACGAAAACAAAAGGCAAGTGTAAACAGAAAATAATGAGAAGTTGATAATGCAGTTTGTCAAACCTGAGGCCATTCCTTTATGGTTATGTTAATCTAATCATGAATTCACACCATTTCGATGGGTCCCGTTCATCTAATTTTTAGCTTTTTATTCTTTATTTTTTTAAAAAATGAAATTGAAATGATTAAAATCACAAAACATGACAAGAATTGGAATGAGACATTCAAACTCCATACTAAATAATCGGATGGATTTAGATTTATCAGACCATCTAAGTTTGGTCCAAAAATGACCACAGCATCTGCTGCACCGCTCTTTCTTTGTTTTTACCAATCAGTTTCTGAAGTGTTGCTTTGCAATTTCTTACTCTGTTTCAAACGGGCCAGATTTGCACAACAGAGCCACAAATTTTACACCCTTATATATTGGGCCATGGCTCCATAGTCCATACTTTACCAGATAAAAAATAACCAGAGTTTTTTTATAACTATTTTTAATAGGTTTATAACACAAAATGACCCACGAATTTATAACTTTGGTCAAATTGGTCTTAAACTTTTTCTTAGATCAAATTAGCCCTTAAACTTTGGCAATCTTTGTAAGACCTCCTATCCATTCTAGTCATAAACCGGACCGAAGAGGTTACATTAACTGGTTAGTATTTAGTTAGAAATAAAATATAAATTTTTTTGAAAGAGTTTTATATGATATATATATGAAGAAGCATACAAAACAAACCAATAATAAAGCCCTCATTAAAAAAACCTCCCTAAACCTAAATAGAAAAAAAGAGTGCACCTTACCATTGGGAGTAGCTGTTTATCTAAGGATCAATAAGCAACCAAGCATCCCATACTGAACAGTGGACAACCCCAACACTAAAAGAAATGCCGGCAAAGTAACCAAACAGTAAGTAACTTTAAAAAACATCTTTAGGACATGAATATCAACCTTCTAAGAATCGAATCTAGCGTTCAATATTGTTATTAAATTTAAAAAAGTTTTTTCGATCATCATTCTAAAAAAAATTAATTCAAGAAATTAATACAATCTTAGTAAACTAGCCCCTAAACAAATTTGTTTATTTTGGTGAGGTGCTAAGATACATTTTACTCTCTCGTATAATTGATGGCTGTCTGGAAAGGAATTGAGTTTTTATCCTATAAAATAGTTTATTTATCAACCTCAATAGATAAACATAATTAATGGTAGAAAACTAAGGGATTATATATGATATATCATCGGTGTATAATTCTTATATACCATTTATGAATTATATATATAATTTTATTTAATGAATAAAATAAAATAAAATATATTAAGAGATATGAAATCATTAAGTGGCTTGAGTGAAAAAAAATTAATGTTGTTCTTTTTAAAGGACTTGAGTTCAAGCAGTGTCGGATTTAGAAATTTAAGATTGAGGGTCCAAAAATTTTATAATATATATTTTTTTAAAAATGATGGGTATGCACCTGACCTCTTACCCTTATGGGACTTAGAGCATCCGCCTGTGAGTTCAAGTAATTATATTTGTGAGATGTATATGTATGTCAATAGCCTAAAAAAATTATAAACACATGATATATTATAATTATCTCATATTGTTTCCAAAAAATATTAAAATACATATTGTAATTTTATTACTTATTTATAAATACTTATATATTTTTATTGTATTCATAAGATAGATGACATATAATCTATTAACGGTGTATTGAATACAATCCACAAAATTAATTAAACATTCTATATATAGAAAAAGAAGAAGAAAAATCCAAGAAGACGAGGGACAAAAAGAAGGAAAAATAACCATAGGATTCACATGTACTATCAATTACCAGGGAAACAGAAAAAAGAGTATGAAAAAGATGATCAATCAAAGAAAATCACATCAGATTGTGCATCAAGACATGAGCTTATCGCAGGTGGTTTAACTATCATAATTGAAAACAATAAGAGAGATACGAGGAGAGAAGAAGATACATTTACATTATTTTCTCCTCTTTTCGTTACAAGGACCAAGGTATGGCGTGATTAATTGGAACTGCTCAGTAACCAACGAAAGGGAAATTACCCAAATTTCCCACAGCTTTTATTTCATGTCCTTTTGTGGGAACTCGGTGGCGTTTCTGATGTTCTTTGTTGAGCTCCTCTTTTTCCTGAGGCTTGAACTCCATTATCTTCTCTTCTTCAAGGTTTCTATTTTTACTGTCGTTTGCAGCATATCTTGTATTAACTTGTCTGTATTTGAAAATCTTTGTAGGAAAAAAGGGCTCAAGAAACGAGGTTATTAAATGATTTCTTCCTTCTTCACTATAATTTCTGCAGAACGCTTGCATTAATTTGTCCTTCCACGTTCCATCATTTCAACAGAGTGTGAGACAACGCTTATATTAAGCTGTCAATTCATTCACTGAAACGCCTATTGTGCTCTTCATCAAAATGGTTGCTACTCACAGTTTCATACTTTGCCCAAGACATTGCCACTTTTTCCTTATTTTTCTCTTGATTTTAAGCCCGACCCAAGTTAGATTCAAAGCTGAAGGTACGTAATTTAGCATCTTATTCATCACAACCAATAAGTTTTGAAAAATAGTTTTTGAATCCAAACTTGTTCTTGATTTTCAGCTAGGCCAAACCCCAAATCTAATACCTTTTCCAAGGTAAGACGCCAACAGTCAATTTGCATTAATTAAAAAAAACTGTGTTTCCTCATCTCATTATCATACAATGAATGCTAATAATGTTTCTTCTTCTTCTTCTTCTTCTTCTTCTTCTTCTTACGTTGGATAGGCAGCAAATGAAGAAAAGGAAATATTGAGAGGTCGGATAGGGTCAAGGCCGCCAAGGTGTGAGAGAAGATGCAGCTCATGCGAGCATTGTGAAGCCATTCAAGTGCCTATAGATCCACCAGTCAGAAATGGGAACATGAATATTTCAACATTGAACTTCCATGCTGCTTACGCTAGAGGACTTGATAATTCCAACCACAAGCCCATGAGTTGGAAATGCAAATGTGGGAACTTCATCTTCAACCCCTGAATATATTATTTTCCAGAAACAGGAGTTTAGGTAATCGCGTCGATTACCTATTTTTGCACTTTGTAAATCAGTGTAAGAGAATATATAGATTTGCTTTAGTACATGTTCTCTTGCTTTTGAGATTCAGATGTTTGAAGATGTTGCACCTTCATAGTTCATACTATTATTCTCATTAAATCAGTCGATTAATCTACTCTCAGAGATAAGAAACCAACGTTTAAACTTGATGGGATATTAAATTGGCATATTTTTATATCTGCGTTTATCTTTTTCTAAGCATTCTTCATGCAGAGATGATTAGACAAGTCTTTCGTTCCATATGTACTGCAATTTTGACTGTTTAAATCAATCAACTAAACAGTAGCTAAGCTCGCAAGCTATCAAATTCCTGAATGACAGCAGCGAAATTAAAGGCCAGACACAGCTGCAACAACCAAAAGTCATGGGGTCATAGCTAAGTAAATATATAATCAAAATTTCAACGACAGTAGCACGTGAAAAGGACTAACCTCAGTAATTCATTCAAAGGTTTGAATCCTCCGCCCTTTGCCTGTTAAGTGTACAAGCTATAAACAGGGAATTTAAGATCTAAATAATAAAATAGATTAATAATAGAAGTTAAGTGATACAGTTGAATGAAATTAAAGAATTGTAAGATACAAGCAAGTTAATGTTAAATTATATTATATTATCTCAACTTAAAATTATTTTATAAATTTATAAAAGAAAGAGATTAAATTATATCAAATTCAAATATATTGATTAAATAATAAATGTAAGTATAGTAGAGGGATCAAAATCAAAATAAGACCTTATAACCCAAATTGAAAGCGATTGAACCGAAAAACGGCGTAGTATACATATCATGTAATTACACGCGCCATTAAGAGTGTGAAGACAAAAGAGAATGAGAATGCAGGAGAATTTTTAGTTTTGCAGAGATCAATGGAATGCCACTTTAAGGAGCACGAATGCACCATTTATGTGTTCCAAACTCTCTGATTTGCCATTTCGAGATCCAATCTCATTTTGTCACCCACCCCATAGCTTTTAATTCTTGAATCAAGTTTCCTTCTTTTTTTCCATTTCGTCCAAATTCCTGGAAATATTACCATTCTCGGAATTCACTTTAAAAAGCAAAGAGTTTCCCTTGTTAGTCCTTCCTGATCATTTTGGATTCCAGGTGAGTCTCTATCCAAGCTTTTTCAATTTAATTTTCGGGTGTTAAAACCGGGTTTTCTTTTAAAATTTAAGTGGTTGATTTGTTTCAGATTTTTAGTGCAATTTTGATCCTGCATTGTATTCATCTTTTCCTTTGTTATCTCTTCATAAGACGTTTGTGTCTTGGTTAAAGCTGTAAGAGCGTTGGATTCCTGTTGTTTGGATGGTGTGCCATTGATATCTTTTCCGAATTTTGTCAACCTTCCTATTGTTCATTCATTATTTATCGTCATTCTGTGGATTGGATCAGTTGTAATTGTTAATATTAGTGTGTTCGACCATATTCTCATATGGAAATTTGAACTGAATATATTCATGTTCATGGTAATCTACCATTTGAGCTTTAGTTCATGGGATGATCTGTTTTTTTTTTGCATGTATTGCATTTTAACAATAGAAACATTGTCTGCTTGAGTTTTCGTTTTCATTCTGTCGTGTTATTAAATGTTCTCGATGTTGTAATGAATGACTGTGTAAATACAGAAGAAATTTGATGTTTTGTGGTGTTTTGGGGCAGATTTGTTGGAGAGAGTGCACCATGTTCAGGGTTTCATCTTATAGGAATCAAAGATCCAAAGGTTTGAAGGTAAAGCATGCTCTCCAAATATGTGTTCTGGCCGCTATTTGCATTTGGCTGCTTTGCCAAGTTTGGCACAATAGTGAGAAGAAAGCCGAGTACGAGAAATCCACCAAGGAAGTCATAAAGTTGGGGAGAAAGGACCTTCCTCAAGCAGAGGAAACAGTTATTAAGGATGTGCGGGTCAAGGATGAAGACGAGGAAGGAAGGAAGATTGGAGAAGAAGATAACAAGCTTGAGGAAACTGGAAGTGAAGGAAGAGGGAATGGAGAGGATTATGTGTTGGCTGAGCGCGATGATGTTAAGGCGGAAGAGGAAACCGGTCACACACAAATTCTATAGATGGAGAGAAGGAAAATGAAGAACGTCGGAACACTAAGATTGAAGAGAAGGGAAGCGAAGACCTGGAGAGTGAAGAGACTAAAGAGAATGTTAGCAAAGATAAAGTGTTAGAAGAGAGTAAAGAGGAGAGTGAAAACAAGGCGAGTGAAGTCAATGCAGAGGATGGGGAAAATAAGGCAGTTGAGGGGAAAGAAAACACCAAGGAGAGTCGAGAGAAGGAAAATAACCATATTGGGGAAGAGAGTAATGCAGCAGAAAGTGGCATGAAAGAGACTGAGAAGAGTGGAGGTGAGATAGAAAATTTAGGTACTTCAGATGATCATCTCCGTGATGGAGCTGACAGGAACAATGGAGAAGCAAGAGAAGAACACTACAAGGGGGGTGATGCTTCAAGCGAAGTAATCCATGATACCCGACATGTATCAGTTGACAATGAGACGGGTGGTTCAGAAAATTCAAACCAGTCTGAGCAATTGGAAAACAGAGGTAAAAATGAACTTGACCAGGAGAAAGGATCAAATAACAGTGACGCAACAAATGTCCATCTTAATGAGTCAAACGTGCAGGAAAATGAAACAAATGAAAACAATCAAGATAGTGGTAATGAGAGCACCGAGGCTTCAATGACAGATGCAAACTCAAATATGCATCAGAATGGTTCAGAGGCAACATCAAATTCAACTCAGAATGAAAGTGATCAGCAATCGGAGAAATCCAAATCAGGTGGTGATGGCGGACAGTTAGATTTAAATGCAATTGCTACTTTGACTGAGCACATGAATGGAGCTAACAGAGGTTCTGCAAGTTCTACCAGTAACTCTGAATCTGTTGAATCAAATGGGCAGACTGAGAACTCTGATGCACGGAGAGGAACGGACAGCAATTCTTCATCCTCAGTTACAAGCCAAAATGATGGAGTTCAGATTGACGAATCCAACAATTATTCTGGAGTAGAGGGTACACGAGAAAACCTTGTTTCGTTAAACACAATTGGTAATTCAAATAATGGCCAGAATGAAGAAGACCATTCTTCTGATTCTTCAATTGCCAAAGGGAGGACAGCATCCTTGAACACTAATGATAATGCCGGTTCTGTTCAGAATGAGAATGAGAGTGGCAGCGATACCAACAATAATGTAAATGGGAGAGACAACAGCAGTGACAATCAGAGCAACACTAATGTTATTGCAAATGCAAATGAAGATGTTACTGAAAAGGATAATAACAATTCAAGTTTAAATGAAAATGCTGCTCAGAACAACAACAGCAACTGGAATGCTGGTCAGAATGAGAATGAGAGTGGCGGCGAAACCAACAATGCTGCAAATGTAAATGGGAGAGAGAGCAGCAGTGGCAATCAGAGAAACACTAATGATATTGCAAATGCAAATGGAGATGCTCAGAACAACAACAACAGCAGCAACGAGAATGCTGTTCAAAATGAGAGTAATGCTGCTCAGAGCTATACTGACAATGACAACGCAAGTCAGAATGAGAATAATGCTTCCCAGAGCAACAATGAGAAAGCAAATCAGAATGAGAGCAATGATACTGTTCTGAGCAACAACAACAATGAGAATGCTGGTCAAAATGAGAAAAATGCTGCTCAGAGTGTTACCAACAACCAGAATGCTGAACAGAATGAGAATAATGCTTCCCAGAGCAACAACAACAATGATAATGCAAGTCAGAATGAGAATAATGATTCCCAGAGCAACAACAACAATGATAATGCAGGTCAGAATGAGAACAATGATTTCGTTCAGATCAATACCGGCAACAATGATAATGCAAATCAGAATGAGAACAATGATGCCGTTCAGATCAATACCAGCAACAATGAGAATGCAAGTCAGAATGAAAATAAAACTTCTGTTCAGATCAACACTAACAACCATGAGAACGCGAGTGAGAATGAGAACAATGCTGCTCAGGGCATTACCAAAAACAAAAAAGCCAGTCAGAATGAGAATAATGCTTCCCAGAACTACAACAACAATATCAGTGAGAATGCAAGTCAGAATGAGAATAACAATGCTGTTCAAATTGGCACCAACAATGAGAAAGCAGGTATGAATGAGAAGAATGCCTCCCAGAATTACAACAACGGTGAGAATGCAAGTCAGAATGAGAATAATAATGCTGTTCAAATCAACACCAACAATGAGAATGCAGGTAAGAATGAGAACTATGCTGGTCAGAGCATTGCTAACAAAGAAATTGCAGGTCAGAACGAGAATAATGCTTCTCAGAATTTAAAGAACGACGACAACACCAATAATGACAATGCAAGCCGGAATGAAAACAATGATGGTGTTAAGGGCAACACAAACAACCAGGAAACCAAAAATCAGGATGAAACTAATATGGCTCATACCTACAACAATGAAAATGCGGGTCAGAATGAAAACAACAATGCTTCTCAAAGCAACACTCACAACAATGGGAATTCGGCTGAGAATGACAACAATAATGCTTCAAAAATCTACAAGGACAACAATGCAAGTGACAATATTAGCACTTTGGCAGGTACCAAGACTGGGGGAAATGATGGTGAGAATGTAGCTGCAGAGTGAAAATGATGTTCTGTTGTTCACTATATGACTATTATTGCCATCAAAGTTTTGTTTTCTTCTTCCTGAGATGAAAAGACAATTGTTTGTTTTGTTCTGATAGTGATATCATAACTGGAATTGTTTGTTTTGTACTTATAGTTCTACTTATAATTATTAACACTCCAAGTTCCATAAGGCACATATGTATATGTTTAAACTGTGTTCTCTGTCTAGCAAAATGAAAGTCATAGCTAATAAAAAAAAAAGAAAAAAGAAAATGAAAGTCATAGGTTTTGATTCAACAGAATATCATTCTGAAAGCCTTTTGTTTAAGAAGGATTTTTTTCTTTTTCATGCAAATGTGTCTAGATGCCTCTTACATCATTTTGATTCCATGAATTTGTTGCTTAACTTACAAGGACCAGCAGAGTTGGCAAAGCAATAAAACCTGATGGTGCCCCAAAACCTAAAACCCATCTGAAAAACTAGACTCTTAACCTTATGTTTATCATCCTAACTTCCGCTTGGATTGTACTATGATTCTAGGATTTATTGGTAACATCATTATTTCTTATGAAAAGGACTTTCCATCTAACATTGAACAGTGAAAACACTTGGTCTCTTCCATTGAGAAAGCCATCTCTCTAATCTTCAGTGATTTGTCATAATCTTTACCAATATTCTTCTCTCTCATTGGGCTTAATCATTTTCTTACCATCTATCCTCCTTTTCTGATGGGTAATCTCAACTATCGAATCATTCTCATGCAGCTCCATACTCTCTTTCATATTTCCAATAGGCAGCTCTACTGCCAACAGCTCCCACATCGACACACAGGTCAAGACATTCTATTAATGCAGCTCCATACTCTTTCATTTTTTTAATACATCAATACATACTTATACTTGGAAATTGTTAATGTTCGCCCTCTATGTGACCACCTATTATTTGATCGCTAAGAATATTCCTTCACAAAGATTTCTTAATACATTCAGCAGCGCCACACTCTCAACTGTAATAAATCTTCTTTTATACATCATCTATCACATTAACACAATCAACTCAAAATTAAATAACCGTCTTTGCATCACCACAAATTCTTAACTTCAATTCACTCATGTAGATAGATAACCAGCTTGAAATGTTTTCCAATACAAACAAACAGTACTAAGGCATTACAAATATAATCATCTATCATACAAATTCATACAAGACCAAAGGGAGTTTCAGTCCCTAAAAAATATGCAGACAATAACAGTTTATCTGTCTCCTCATTGCTTTTCCTGTATTCCAAATATATGCGAACAACTATGTCTAGCCTCTCATGAAAGCATATCATACATTAACTCATGGATTCAACCTGGGTAACAACGCCATCTTTCATGAATTGAATCAGCCAAGCAAACTAAAAGAAGGGGAAAACATGGTAGACATGGGAAAACCATCTTTTTTATTATTATTATTATTATTATTATCGACTTTCAAAATTGTTCTTGAAGATCCACAGAAGAACAACCATAGGTAGATCAATTCGGGGAAGCATTACTTCCTCCTGCTGACACGGAAGTTGAAGAGGCATTATTAGCCAAACGTTCCTGGCGATGCTTTTTCAGCTTCTGAGTTCATCAAGTGATCTATCCACCAACCATTGGCCCTTTCTTTGGTTCTCCATCTTCATCTGTTCAAGTTGCTTGGCTCGAAGTTTTGCAGCTTGCAGTTTTTCATATGCATCTGAGTATTCTTCGAAAAGCTTCTTGATATTGCACCATTGGCCCGGTCGATGTTTGGTATCAGCATCCTGCAGAGCATTTTCTCCTTGTGTCGTAGACTTCTGATTCCTTCTACGTTTGACATTGAGCAAAAATCCTGTCATTGAGAAACTATTAGAACAACAGCGAAAAGATTTGTTTAAAGGATGGATTTGTGAAGTTTGAGAACAAAAACATGTTATTTATAGGACTTTGATGGCTAGACTAATTATTTGGAGTTATCCAAGTCCCGTTCTCCGATTAGCCACCTCTACTTCCTACCATATATTACAATGGCAGAGATGTAATAAAAATAAACTATTCGATTTTCCTTTTAGGACTTACTGGTAAATGGCAATGCTTTAATGTCCTAGGTTGGCATGATTAAACAAAATCACACTTTAGGTGCTTGGATGGGAATGGAAGTTAAATTCCATAATATACCTGCCATAGCTGCAAAAGAATGAAATAAGCCTACCAAATTTATCTACTAGGAAAATATAATGGCACTAAATAATTCAAGATTTGCAGGATACTGCAATTACTTCATAAAAGAAACCTTTTTATCAGGAAAACAAAATTCATTAATTGTTGGTGTAAAGTTGTCCAAGTGATTCAACTTACCCTAGGGCCACAGGGTTTGCAGAGCACCATACACTTCGTACGGTAACCTACCCGGACATTTTCCTCAAAAAAGGCAAAACACTTAAGATCAGCTAAGAATTGGTAACAAAATAATAAAAATATTATAATAGGTAATAATTCCAAACCTCCATTAATTACATTAAATTAGTATGAAATGTAACATTTCTAATAGAAATGCAGATCATTGCATGATGCAAGATATTTTTGGTTAAGACCAATATTTTGATTTTAAGCCCGGTTTCATTGTCAATCAAGAAATCCGGATTCTTCATTTTCTGATACTTATGCTTTACACATTTGAGCCAAGTATAGGAGTATTGTCTCCAAATATATGAAAAGAACTTAACATGATAACATAGTAGGCTATGGAATTAACATGACAACAGGTGTAAATGGTGTGACTTAAGCCAGAAAATTCTATTAGACATTTGCACAAATAAATATTTTCTCTAACACCAAAAATTAGCAGAATAGTTCATTTTTTAATAGTAATGATGAAATGATCGCAATAAGTAAATTCAGTAGAGCTGTATGAAACCTTGCAAAAGGTATGTTAACGAAGAAAAAGGGGGGTGGGGTGGAATCACAGCCAAATGGATGAGTGTGAACGCTTTTACTCATAATATGATATGATATGTTCAAATCAAACTCTGAAGCTTTATATCTTACAATTGATACCAAATATTTATGTGTTCCTCGCATTTTTAAACCATTTCTGCCACTATTTTTATCATCAATCTAGATGAACTTATAAACCTTAATAGCAGGTCACATATAGCATAACTATGCAAAAGGCTGCAACATTTATAACAATGCTAAGACAAATTTTGTAAGAAAAAACCAATATATTCAAGCCATTTATAATAGAGAAAACTGAAGATCTGAAACAAAAGATGTAAGTCTAACTGATCTCAAATGTTCCAGATGTGATGATAACCCTATCAATAATTTCGCTGTGCAAAAAAGTTGTTTCTTGCTCTTTTCTTTTTCACCAACCCCCACTTTTACTCTTAATTGAACTGACAAAGCTAGAACACTTAACATCTACAATAAAAGAGGGATTATAGATTCCATTTTTCCAAATACAATTCTTTTAGGTAAGATTCAGTATCAGTAGAGTGGAATAAGACTAAAAAGCAGACAAACCGGATATTTATCTAGCATCTAATTGTATTCAGTTCAAGAGTGAACCAATTAAATCCATACTATTATCTAAGGGTCTAACATGTAAGTCCGTAACGGTTCCGCGATTGTTACTATGATTCCCTAATACATTTAGACATTTTCCCCTTCTTTTTGGTCACTATTTTTGTCATCCCTAAAGACAAACATTATAAACCTTCATAGTGGGTCACATGTACCATAACTACACAAAAGACTGCAGCAATTATAACAATCTAAGACATTCTTTTGTGAAAAAAAAATATCAAAGCCATTTACAATTCAGAAAACTGAAGATCAGAAACAAAAAATCTAAGTCTAACTGGTCTCAGATGTTCCAAATGTGATGATAACACTGTCAATAATTCTGCTGTGCGAAAAAAAGTTGGTTCTTCCACTTTTTCAGTTAAAACTAGTTGGAAATGAGGCACCAACACCACCCCAACTCCCACTTACTCTTAATCAAAATGACTATGCTAGACCTCTTCACATCTACAGTAAAAGTGGGAGTATAAATTCCAATTTTCCAAATAGAAGTGTTACAGGTAAGGTTAGGTATCAGTAGAGTGGAATAAGACTGAAAAGCTAAGACCAGTTTCACATAAGTAGGCACTCATCAATAAAATACTAGGTAGAAAGATTCCAGTCATGCCTTGATTTCAAGAGTAATTTGTTTTTAATGATTTGTAGAAATAGAGAAGAAAGTTTTTGGAACAGAGAAGAAATTGAATTCTCTGTATTTTCTCACTTCGAAAACAATTACATAGGTTAGGCCTTATATGGGCAGATTTACAATGAAGATACAATAGGAATGCAATTCTTAGTGTCCCACTAGGAGTTAGCTTAATCTAATTAATATCCTATCTAATCTCTTAATTAGATAAGATGTAGAGTACAGAGTAAACAGAAAATAAAACTCTTAACAATTAAGTTAAACGAAAACTCTAACAATTAAGTTATGAGGCTACAATCTACATGACATTTAGCTAGCATCTAACCGTGTCTGTATTATGTTTGAATTAAGAATGAACCAACCGAGCCATACCATTATCTAAGGGACATAATGGTTCTGCAACGCCTCTTTTATACATTTAATTGTTTATTAAAAGTATATGATAAGAAACTTATGTTACCGGACATTATTTCTATAACTAGCCTGTTTCCTTAAGCTTACCTATTTTTATATCCTCAATTCACATCTATTCATTCGATAATAAATGTAAATCAAACATGTTCTCATTCAAAAAGGTTTCCAGTTTGATGGTTTTCATTCCACTATTATTTAGCCAGTTAGAATCAACTAAAAATTGCATCAGATGGTCAACAATTCATATGCAAACATCAATAATTATGAAACTATTTCTAATTTCCTCAGTTTCTTATGACTTTCTTTCATTCTATATCTAGTTTGATCACGATTCTTCCTCAAATTTCATTTTTCAAAATTTTGGGTATCTTTGTTTTCTAAATTCAAATCAAATACCAGACTAAAATTTTCTTAAACCCAAGAAAGCAAAATTTGAATGAAGTGCCAAAAATAAACGCAAA